CCTAGTGAATAAATGCTTGTGTTTTTAAATAGTTTATTTAGTGAAAAAGAAGGCTGAAAAGTTGCCCTTTTCTGAACTTTGAAGGGCCGTAACTTTTTAAATAAGGGAGAGCGCCGCTTTTTTCTTTCGGATTCGTAATCTACGCATCAAAATACGTAAGTACAGTCAAAAATTTTTTCAAAATCGCCGGGTGTCCACATAACGAAAATTTACCTAAAGTGTTTTTCAATGATTAATATTTGTTTTTGTTTCCTACTCCCGAAATATAAAAGGCAACCCTTATAGGAAATGAAAGAAGTAAAATTTCACTCACATGGAACACCGTCATCCTCGGCATAAGACACTTGCCTCACCGCCTATCCAGTACCAAATCTGGATAACATTATAAGAAAAACCACTCAATTCATTAATGAAATTACGACTTCATGTCATAAATCAGACGAGTCTACTCATGTCATCGATGGCAGTGCGTTATGACATTCATTCGCATATTCAATTCAATCCCAGCCATAGGAATCTTGTTCAAATCGAAAGAAGTGTATTTTTACGAGAGAGATTTTTGGGAAAGAAAGGTTTTGGCTTTCTACTTCTCCATCTTTATAGAGTGATACTTGAATACGATATAGAGTTTCATCACGTACGGCCAATTCTATCACATATTGAAACATCAGATTTATCTGCACTTTTGTTTCTATTGTAAGAAATATCATACACATTTTCAAATTCATATTCCTATATCGTTTTCCTACACAAACTTCAGATTCGCTGGCTCACATGATCACAACGTAGTATCGAATATCAATAAGAGATTGTGCCTAGAATACTGGATTGAAACCGGGGTGACGCTGTGAAGTTATTATGTATAGCCTCGTGTGTTACCATCAAACTGTCGAGTCGTATGATCGAAAGCGAATGGATTCAGAAGCAAAGTGAAATGAATTCACTTGGTGCTCATGAATCGCATTCCCATATAGCGACAATGTATTCGAATATTGATTTTTCAAATTATAGTAAAGCGAACGATCCATCCAGGCTTCGTACGGATAACACAGTATCATTGCTCTCTGTTTAGAAAATGAGGAGAATTTTGATTTTTTTTCAAATATTTATTCATTCATCAATTTATATTCTATCACTTTCAATGTAGTCCCCCTCAGATATGATAATCTGGTGCCAGCGTTTTTTCAAATCTTTTTGGTATGTCCTTGAGTACCGGTGTACGCGGTACTGCATGGAAATTATTCGAATCGTAATTGAATGGTAGGAGACAAGCTGCTTTTATAGACAACAGCTATTCTGAAATCGAGAACATTTATTTTGGGGTACCTCAAGGTTCTATCCTTGGCCCACTTTTATTCATTGTCTATATCAATGACATATTTCATCACATGTGTCCAATCAAATGTATTTGTTATGCAAATGATTGCTCCCTTTATGCTTCTGGCAAGAAACTTGATCACTTGCAGGAAACTTTGCATGATTTATTAAGAAAAGCTAAAAAATGAGTCGTTTCTAATTACTTGAAACTCAAAAACAAAACTCAAAATTTTGTTTTTTCAACCAACAATACGATTGCCAAAAATTCAAAAGTTAAACTACTTGGAATTGTTATGGATGACAAATTGAAATGATCAGCTGATATTGAGCATCTAAGTAACAAATTAAACACAACTCTCTTCATATTACGGAAACTGAGCAGATTTGCTAACCTGGCAGTTTTGAAAACAGTCTACTTTAGCTTATTTCAACTCTTACATTAATTACGGTGTAACTCTATGGAGAAACGCTGTAGCCTTCAGAAACGAGCTTTACGAATAATATCTAAAACCAATTATAGTGACAGTTGTCGCCCCATATTTGAATACNGTAGTACGGTCATCTGGCACTCCTCACACTGTAGCAGTTTGGCGTACTGCATTCAAATTATTTACTCTCAACGAATTGAATAAATGAATTTATACGACGAAAATACAATATTTATTCTTGAAAAATATCATTCATAACAAACAAAATAACAAATTTACTATGACAAATGTTGGAATATGTCCAGTATTAACCAAGAAATTCTCCAACAAATAGGTATTCAGTTGAAGGGGATTGAGAAAAATTGTTTTTTTGAAGGCGGTATTGATAGATATTCCTTTGAAATATACTGTCAACAGACACATTGCACCCATCAATAAGACCAACTTGGGTTATTCGTGATATTCTTCAGTTTACTTCGAGAGCGTTTTGAATATACACCTATACAACATGGAAGCTAGTTGGGGAAGCGTCCGAAATTGTCACCATTAAATATAAATGAAAAAACAATTGTTAGTGAGGAGGAAGTAGTGCAAAAATGCGTGAGTATGACTGGTGTCAATAGATCGACAATTTTTGGAATTCTCAAGGAACTCAACGAAAGTATCCGAAAGTATCCACTGGTACATAGAAAGTGTTTGTTTATCGATGAAGAAGTGAATAATTCTATTATGAGAACAGTACATTCTTTTTACATAAAAAAACGAAATATCTACATTAAATAAAGTTTTGTCAGTTATTCGTGAAGACAGTTTTTTTCCTGATGTAAGATGAACTCGATTATGGAAGATATTACATGGCGAAGATGGCGAAGACTAAAGGAATGTCGGTTCTTCGGTTGCCGCGTTATCACTGTGAATTGAATCCAATAGAGTTGGTTTGGGCTCAAGTTAAAGGATTCATCGCAAGGAATAATAGGACTTTCAAGCTGTGTGAAGTGAAGAAATACCTATACAGTGCTCTGGAAACAGTCGACCAAAAAGCTTGGGAGAAATGTATCCACAAAACAATCAAAAGAAGCAGAGATGTGGGATCTGGATGATCGCATAGACTCATTATCATAAAAAATTATTCCAGTTGTCATCAATCCTAATGAAACTGATTCATCCAGTGAAGAATTACTCAACGAATCCCTGTAGATTTTTTTCAGATTGAAATTATCGCACTGTCTTATTCGAAGTAAGTATCATTAAATCTATAAAATTGTTTCTGAATCAACTATAAAATCCAATAAAGAATATGAACCTTCATTTCCAAACAAACAATAATATATAAAGTGTATCTCTCAGTGCAGCCACACTTTTCTACTTCCTGAAAATGTCAAAGTCGAAGCCGAAACGTCAAACAACGCAAAATTTTAAACGGGGTTCAACTCGAAATCAGATGTTCAAATTTCTGACCGTGGAAATCTATTCTATTTGTATACTTATCTGGTGATGTTTCGAATACTTTATCCATCTTCATTATCATACCGACGATCAATTTGATATTATCAGTGTCAATGATAATAAAAATATGAAATTTATTTACAGTAAAAGACGAATCATACCTACAAATTATAATGTTTTGATTTAAATAGGTTGGATAAAGAAAATGGATGGAGTCTTTAAAGCGTCACCAGATGATACATATTTATTTTAATATGCAAACATTTTTGAATTCAAAGGCAAGTTGACTTGGGTGTCACACCAATAGGTGGTTCCACTTATGTTTCGCTTGCGTTCACGCAGCTATTTTTATCAAGTACTTTCTTGATTTTTCTCATTTTGTCCCCAATCGAGGACCGCCTGCCCTTTGGACAAGCACTCATATGAAAATGGGCAAACCGCAGACACGTGTTTCTGACTATTTAACCTTCGTCAGTACGGTACAGCCAAGTGTAAAGGATGGGCAACACTTGGTTGCGAAGAAAAGGGTCGAAAACAAAACAAGCGGATTCACCATCAGAAAGCCAACTGCGGTTTCGTGTCACTTTCATATGAGTGCTTGTCCAAAGGATTCATCTTCATTGATAATACCATATCCACACAATATCCCATCAATATGGGAATGATCAGAATGGTACTTATTTATTTATCTTTTGATTTTCATGGAATTAGTTTCCAGCAGCTTGACTGCAAAGTGGATAATCTTAGCGACTGGAGAAATGTACAGTAAAATGGATTAAAAATCAAAACTCTTCTCTCCTTTGCCAAGCTTTCGCTTCTAATGGAAGCTTCTTCAGGGCAGTAAAAATGAGTCAAAAACAATAAATTGAACATATAAATTGATGAGGAAAGTTAAATATGTATAGGATTACTTTGGGTTTGACAAATGTCATACCTTCACATAAATGTGATATGAGCTTTTTCGTTAAGAATGTTATAACGAATCGAAATGTATGATGAGATATAGGCCGTTCCATTTAGAAAAATATCATTTTTCGACATCGAGAAGGCCATTGAAAATGTTACTAGTTGGTAATCGTGCCAATTTAATTTTGAACACCCTGTATAGTTGGCATTTATAAAAATTGACGTATTGGGAGGTTTTTGTGATTTCAATTTTTGCACTTGACACTTCCGATAATAATTCAATAAGTGAGGCTTAGATATCATCAATTTCTGCATAGTATTTCAGATAGTGTATCACTGCTACTGAATAATATTGTTGTAAATCATACCCGAAAGGAAATAACGCCGGCCGCCACTGGTAACAATAAACCAAATGTGACGTAGCTGAGAGCGTGGGAATATTCAATGTTACCTGCCGCTCGAGAAAGAGCAAGAAACATGCTACCGATGTCCATAGAACTTCTACGATGTTCCATTACGATATTTAAACGCTGGCTGCAAGCGTATTCAGACAGTCAAGTACACAGCGAAGTGGACCTAACAGTGCGGTACGAGAAGTGAACTAGTAAGGCGATAGACATTCAAATAATAGTTGAAATTTTTAGTTGAAGTGTTTGTTGTATTTCAAGTGATATGAAGTTAGGTTTGATTATTCAGTGTGTAGTCAGAAGGAAAATTTGGAGCCGAATTGGCGATCCTCTCAGATATGATTGAATATCTAGCAGAGCTCTATAGCTACTGGAAATGAGAATTAGTATTACTAAGAATTGGTTCAACTTACATCCAGCAAGCATGACACATATTGTGAAGATTTTTTCTGCATCTGTATTCGGCGCGACGTTGCCAAACCCCACACTTGTCAAGGAAGTGAAAGTAAAGTAGAGAGCTGTGACGTAACGACTTCGTATACTAGGCCCTCCCGTGTTATTAGGTAGATAATACTGTTGGGTGTCGTTGGCCAAAATATCCAACCAACCAATTCGCGCGGGAAGCATTGGCCTCTCCGCGTTTCCTATTGCATACCTGAAATAGAAAGTTTAAATTATCGTTATGGACATTCTCGAATGAAAAATCTAATACATTTCTGAGAGAAACGGTGACTGAACAAACCACACCACAACAAAGAGTTGAACGATCCTATTTTTGACTTTTCGCTACATATATATCATCACTCCTTCAGTATACTTAATGAGCCAATCACTTCCTCAATGATGTTTTCCAGATACCTAGATTCAAAACAGCTTTAATAATTCTCTTGCATAAGAAAGGTAATAAGCAAGATTTAGAAAATTATAGGCAGATATCTTCACTGACGTCGCTATCTAAAATCTTTGAAAAAATAGTACCCAATAGTATTACATCCTACCTCGAGATAAATAACCTACTATGTGATAGTCAATATGGATTCAGGAAAGAAAGATCTTCGGAAATGGCTTCTTGCTATCTACTTAATCATGTTTTGCAAAAGATTAATGATGGATATTATGTTATATTCCTTCTATTCGACCTGTCGAGAGCTCTTAATACTATGCATCCTCATAAATAAGTTGTTTTTCAAGGACACACAAGCACTACAAAAATCCTTAAGTCGCTCTCAGAGCGGTACTTGTACGAAAGTAGCGATTCACATTGGATTTATTCCACATAAACGCAGTTCTCCAAATGAAGAAGTTCTTGAACAGTGGAGTTCAAGGTTTACTGAGTTGAACGTCAAAAGATGTCGTATTTCTGATATGTACCGCTCTTGGTGGAATCAAATGTGCCAAGTCAATTGAACACCCCGCGTGGAAGTATCTGCAGAAGAAAGACATATCTCCAACCTTTTTTCGATGTTTCAGGCTATCAAGGTTGCACGTGATGTTTCTGGATGGAATCCAGCAACTTCAGAGTATGTTTGGGGGCGAAGCTCCATACATGACAACAATATTCCAAGAAAGGTCTGATCTGAGCTTTATGGAGCATCAAGAGTTGCTGAGGTGAATACAGTTTTTCGGTTCGGAACAGTGTTCCAAGCCTTTGAGAAGCAGCCTATGCAAATCCAGCGACGTGATTGTGCCGAGACATACTGGTGTCCATTTCAACTCCCAACAAATTTATCGAAGCAGAAAGCGGAATTGTCCGACCTGATATTATTATATCCGGTTCAAAGACATTTATCTTCTCGGAGAAATCCGATGCCTGGATTTTTGTGGCACTGAATCGAACCTGGTTACTCTTACCCCAATTCGAAATCACTTCTAGATCCTCATTAAGATATGCAACCTCCTGCTGCCGGTGAAGTTGTCCTGGAATCCAAATGAAATGACGAGACAAGTGTGCTGTCGTCAGCAAGGCAATATATTGGATTTTTGGTTTTTTCCAATAATTCGTTAATATAGGTACAATTAAAAGAAGGTTGGAGTCAATATGAATCTCTTGGGAACACCAGCGTTGATGATGAAAGTATTCAAGAGATATCCATCGACGGCCACTTGTTGGGAACGTTCTTTCAGGAAGCTGAAGAGTCAAACACAGAAAAGATCCGACAAGCCGTAGCATCGAAGTTTTGCCAGCAAACCCTCATGCCACAGACGGTCAAAGGCATTAGCGCAACAGTTCTTGATTCTCCATGTTTCTCGATTGCGTTATTCCAAATATGGGTGACGATACGATATTTGTTTCCGAAAGCTATATTGTTGATCGCTCAAGATGTTAAAGCCTTCCAAATATTTGAGGATATGGTGGTTTACAACTTTCTCCATGATTTTTGATATCGCTAATAGCTAAATGCTCTAAACCATCCTCAATATGTGATAAACTAGATACACTCACTATGATGATAGTGACTTTAAAAATATCCTGTGAAACTGAAAGTCCCCCAGGGGTCAGTACTGGGGCCAATTCGTTTCACCATTACCGAATTGAAGACTGAAGTAATTAGAGTTGTTGACGAATTTGGATCCTGATGTCAACGTTATTCATTAATACCTAATGCGGATAAGACAATGACAATACATTTCTATTTTCGATGCCCAATTCCCAATACGATAAACAATGAACTGGATATCAAACTATCAGGGAAAGTAAAATTTTTGGGATTGCAGATGGATAGTTAGATCACCTGGTGAAGCACATAGGCAGTGTCTCTAAAATCTCAATAGATCTTACTTTGAAATCTTTCAAATCGAGTATCGTCTTGACACACATGGCCTGTTGACTATATATAATGCCTTAGCGTACTCCTACATATCACAAAATATTTTTGTAGGGGCAGGGCCAAGAACTTTATGAAAGTTCTTGTGATACGAAAGAAAATTAAGATTGATTTTTTGTTTAGGATATTTGGATAGCTGTAGGCCAATTATGATTCAGAATGAAATCTTAAGTGCAAGACAAATTTTAAAATACCTACAAACTCTTTCAACCGCACATGAACACAATTTTATGGATTCAGAATCTTTCAGGATTGGCTCACTCCAAGGCGTTCATTCACCTTTCGAAGCTTGATATCAAACAGTTGTTGGACTACAGTAGGGATGAACTACGATGTTTAACAGGCCTTCTCACATGTCACTGTCATTTGAATCATCATAATGCAGAGACTCGGACTGTCAAAAGAGAGTGTGTGTCACCTCTGATTCGATAAGCGACAGTATCGTTTGATGATGGGAATGAGTTGATGGGGCATCGGGTAATTACCGTTCAAATTATTTTCATTCTCGAAATTGAATACTCACCAAATGCAAGCCATCCAGTGTGCTATTAGCGCAAAGGTGGCCATGAGCAGTAGAAGGACTGCTGCTCCATACTCCGAGTATCTGTCTATTTTCCTGGCCACCCTCACCAGTCTGAGTAATCTCGCGGTTTTTAAAAGACCTATCAAAGTCGTTGTCTGAAACACAAAATACGTTTTCCAATAGTGATGATATCTGAATGTGTTCGTCGAAATAAAAAAAAATAAGCGTTTCAGTTATTAATATTTTGGAATGCTAGTGTGACTTGACGATGTATGTGTAGATTTCTCTTGTTATCTCCATTTGAAGTCATGCCTTACCTTTCAGTTGTTCATCTGCAATTGTCGACTTTCTCTTTTAGTTGAATACAAGCCATTCGGAAATATTTCCAATGATAATGTAATGAGTCGGCACATAATTGAAAGTTGTTTTTCACGCCCTCGATTAATAAGAGGTGGACGATGTAACACCAAAGAAAAAATCAATTCGAGGGGACTATTGCGGTAATATGCGGCAAACAAAGAAATGGGATTCTTCAATGTATGAATTTACCCTGAATTCTTCATAAAAAGACAAATTTTTGCTGATCCGTTTACCGATTCTGAGTTTGATATTATATACCTTCGTTATTTTAGAATGTTTTAAACTAACTAGTTATTTTAAATGGGTGAATTCATATTTATATGAAAGAAAACAACGCAAATAGTCTGTTTGCCTTGAGTTTGGCGTTCGAATTATAAAACAAAGATGTCGCAGTCTTCCCGCATAACCATTTTGTAGTAGTACTAGAAATATAATCATCGATCAAAAATTCACCTTAACCAAATGTATTCTCTCAATTAGATTGAGTGTCTCTTGGTATATTTAGAAGTTTGAGGGAAAGTTTTTATCAACCCACCATGTATAATTTATTGATTACTGCCTATTTCACCAAATTGAAGGAAAATATTTTCTTTTCATCTCGTTATTTTCATCGAATATGTTTTTTCATCATTTGCGATCTATAAGACACGATATTTCATTTCTGACAAAAGGATTTTAAACTTTCTGCTTCCATATATACAACTTTTTGCAAGTGAAGAAATTGAAATGATAAAAAATTCCTGTTGGTTTCTACTGATTTCATTGAATGTCTCAATCAATCAAATCAATCAATCAAAATATACTTCATTGTCAGAAGATTTTGTATCCCATCCACAAAGCTTTGTAGGTATAATTAATGGTGTATAGATAAAAACTGGCAATTAATAAAGGTTTGAATAAAACAGGTACAAATACAATAAAAATAAATATAAAATGGAATACACGTTTTAAAATGATTCATTAAAATACTCTTGCAAGCTATAATAGGGAGCCTGGTAGATTCAAAAGTATTTTTACCGAAATCTCATCATACCCAGTGGTATTTTTATTTCTGATGTCGGTCAAGGTTTCAATTAATTCATGAATATCTGAGTTATACAAAATGAGGCTATCATCGATATTAATATTTTCTAGATTGATTAAAGGATCATAGGGCACGCGAATAGTGCTGCTGAGCTTTTGAGCATTGGTGCAGTAGAATTCGTTTATTTTGTTAGGATTTATTGGGATATCAATCAACCTTTGTTTTCTTTGATTTTCCTCTGAGGTCATTTCTTGTGGACCAAGTCTCTTTGATTTTGTTAGTTGATTCTCCAATTCTGTTTCTGTACTACTTTGATATTAATATCTAGGAGGCGGGTTCCGCTATTCCTTTGAAAAGGTGTAGACAGAAGGGTTTATCGTCAAAATGTGGTCGGCAGGCATGCCTTTATTCGTGATTAGGATACTTGACCAATAAAACTTTTCCTGTGAGACTGGACCAAACCACATCTGCACATCACCCGATTGAAGCAGGTGTCCCGCAGGGGTCCTGCTTATCACCGGACCTATATTCACCCGCTGTGTCGGCGTGTCCTCTGTCGTCATGTCTTGTTAGGCTCAACAAAACAGTCATCCTCCTGCTATTTCCTTTTCATATACCTATTCTCCTTCCTTCCCTAACCCTACTCCCGAATGTGGGATAATGTTTTTGTAAATATGTAATTAGATTTTTGTTGGTGTTGTAACCATAATAGGAACATAAAGAATTTTGATTTTGGATCGCTATCATATAATTCGTTATTGTATAGAGTGTGCTCAAAATTGTATTGAAAATATCTCATATATTGTATTTCAGTTGATCCAAACTGTGAAATTTCTTGTTTATGTAATCTAGGAAACCAAAGTTTCGAGATTTTTTTCAATTGATAATCTTTTGATATGAAATTCTTCTCTTGTGAATATCTCTCAGAATATATTTGATTGGAATCCTCCCTACTAGTCACGGCATATCCTGCTTCTCTTTGCTGATGTGAACTAGAATCTTCCAATATTCTTCCTTGGGTTTCGCATTGACACAAAAGGTCGAATGATAAAATGTCATGATTCCAGAACAAATAAAATTGCTTGAATCGTGAATGAATTTCATTACATACTCCCATTGATGACATGAGTAGATTAAAGTCATTCGTGACATGAAGTCGCAATTTCATAAATGAATTGAATGTTGCCGATAAGGCAAGTGTCTTACGGCAAAACATCGGATGTCTACCAGTGAGGATGACAGTGTTCCATGTTCGTGAAATTTTACCTCTTTCGTTTACTATGTTGTGTAGCAATCTTGTAAATGATATCTGATTCAATTCAATAACGAATGTTTGGAATACAAACTGAATAAAGAAAAGTATTTTTGTAAAAGTCAGTGTTCATATGAAAGTATGTGTGTCGAAAGTATTTTTCTTTCGTGTAATTCACTGTTTATATGAAAGTAGCTGTTTTGAGAGGCATTCTTTCCAGTTTGTGTCTGAAATTTACTTCTTCGCATCTTTGTAAAGAGCTAACTTTTTGAAATTGATGGTTCCTTTTTTCCTTTGGAAGATTTCCACATTAATTTTTTTGCATGAAGGAGGAGAAGGAGAAAGCCAAAACCTTTCTTTTCCGAAAATTTTTCGTATCTGACATAGTGACGGTTCTAAGGAAAATTGGGTCATTATTTTATTTGTAAAAGGGAATATTTTCCCTCCACATTATATGTTATACTTCTTCATGTATTGTTACATACGAAAAACAATTGAAATTGATTTAGCTTTGATAGAAAATATTTCATTTCCATCAAATTAGTCTTTTACAGAAATGTTCAGCTATTATTGTATCACCCCTATTACAGTGAAAACTCTTATGAAAATCAACAGTTGCCTTGTTGACTTTTTAATTGTTTACGAAATATCATACTTTTGCAATGAATAAGAAAATGTGGTATTCTAAAACAGCTCCAGAATAATAATTCATTTTGAATATATAAATTTACTTGATTGTTGTTACGATAATAATCCGAATTTAATTAGTTTGTTTGGATTAAGAATTGGGAGTGAATTCTCTCTTGCCCTACTCGCATACTCGTGAAGACTTGAAGTGGAATTTTGTCTTACGGATAATCCATACAACAAGAAAGAAACTAAAAGGAGTTGGGATTTTCAGCGCAACAAACTAATTGAAAGCAAAAAGTTGTTTTTTTTAAAAAGGCAATCTTTTGTCTCAATAAACTGATATGTTTTCAAGTAACCAAGAGATTTTATTCATTATATGCTATTCGTGAGAAAAAATTCAGTTTCGTAAGAGTAGCAAACAACTTATACTTGATTGATCGGGACAACCAGATTTACAGTGGGTACAAATTGATTTGCGATCGATATATTTTTTTATGTTGTAGGAAACCGTTTGGAATGGAATCATATCGATGTTTTGACATATTTAGGTGCATAAAGGAAGGAAATTACTTAGGGTGATTTTGTAAGGTGGCTTCCCCTATAACTTTTTTATTATTGAAGATAGAAAAACAAAATTTGGGGGTTGTGTATTATAGTTCAATTTACATTTTTTGACATATTTACTTGTTTTGCCGTACTTCCGTTTTGACCGGAAATGACCCCAACTTTCGATTTTTAAAGGGGGCATCCTATATATTTTTACTTATTTCGATCGAGAATGACATTCTAAATCCAATAATACTTCACGAATATTTGACGAATAAAATCATTTTTATTCCAATTTTTATTTTTTAATCTAGAATGCCATGGATTGTGTAAATCGCTTCATTCTGGATCAAGTAATATGAAAAGTACGACGTTGAGGCTTATGACCTCACAGTGGTTTGAAGAGTTATTTCACAGTCGCGAATATGAATTTGTCCAGTCAACTTGATTTTTTCAAATGGAAAGGGGATTGCTCGTCGGCTTCAAATCTCCTACTCACACACTTTCACTTTATTTTCTCTATTTTTCTGAATAATTGCAAGAAACGATCATACCTAATAACAAATAATACGTATTCGGTACATTTATGCACTAAGTACTGTTATTCTAGTTATCCGTGACAAACAATTGAAACTGTTGCTAGGACTACCTAAACAAATAGGCTAATGAATGTGCTGTCACTTTTAAGAATTTATTTGTTGTGTTTATAATTAGATATGGCAAATTATACTAGAAAGGAGAAAATTGACATGTTGCTAATTTACGGAGAAACAATAAAGAATGCAACTGATGCAGCTCGAATTTATGCTCGGAGGTTCCCTAATCGTCGCCATCCCACTCGGCATTATTTTCCAAAACTGGAAAGAAAAATGCGAAATGAACCAGAAGAAAATACCAATAACTTCATCGTCAGTGAAGAAAAAAAAGTAGACGTGTTGGCCTATGTTGAAGTGAATTGTACGGCGTCAATTCGCCAAATTGTTTCTGAGTGTTTATATTTGTGAATCGTTCACAGATATAATTATCGATCATTCAAGAACCAACTACACCAACATCTTTACTATAACGATCACAATTGACTTATTGCAACTGGTTTTCGACAGAGAAGATGTACGTTTTCCGTTTAAAATTATTTATTCAGATGATACCCAAATCACCAACTTGGGTATGTTCAATAGGAATAATAAATGGTACTGGTCACAAACAAAATTACATCTGATGCAAGAAGGAAATTTTCAAGAGCAATTTGGTACCAATTGCTGGATGGGTATTATCGGAGGCAAACTTTTAGGGCCAATGATTTTTGACGGACAACTGACTGCGGAAAGTTCCTTAAAAATCAA